GGGGGGGGGGGGGAAGGTAGCCCTCTGGTTACGGCGATGAACTCCCCCGTGTCCATCACCAAAGGGCTATTGTGGGAAGGAGAAAGCAGCGGCATATTGCCGCCTTCTCCTCCCTCTCCTCTCCTACGTCTGAGCGGGGGCGCCAGGGGGTCTCCCTCGCGCTCCCGCTCTTTTGCCTCCTTCTGCGAACGGTGGTAGACACCTGCACAAACACATTATGTTGTATGAATTAGTCCGCTTGCTAGGTGTAATGGGAAAAGAGGATGAAAATTAGACACAGGAGGTGTCGCATAGGAAGGGAAATGTTATTTTTCTGTGCATCCTCTCTTCCGTCGATTAAAAGTTTGCGGCGTAACCGCAGTTACGGATGCTGTGGCGCGGTCACTTCGCTGTTACGGCAAATTCGGCCGCCGCTTGTTAGTTTGTCACCTTTTAAAATGAAAAAAATAGGAAAATTTGTATATGTAACGAATGAACTTAAAACTACTGAAGTAACTTTAAAAACTCTTTTGCCATTAGAAATGTACATTATTACTGAGAATCATAGGCTACTACTGTTACTATATTATTTTATTAATTTCGAGCGGGCGAAAACAAAAATAAACTATGACAGCCATAGAGTAAAGACTTATTACTCTGTGTGATTACCGTTCAATTTTATCCATAGACCTCTATACATGGATAGGCTAAATAGCGTAGTATTTTGTGCCTATAAATCTACGCCATTTTGGCGTTGACGGTTGCGATTGGTAGTGGTGGTGAAGATTCGAACTAATAAAAGAGATAGGACTCAGTGACAGAAACTTCAACAGGCACGTTTAAATCGAAACAACGCAAAGGCTGTTATTTCCAAACAATAACTTATCTATTTATAGAGATCAGTGATTCTATCCAACAACAAAATCAAAATCATTTATTGAGCGATCTTGTTTGTCGGCCATCTGCGTCGAAACAAACATTTTTATTGTATTTAATTCTCTTGTCACTTCTAAAATATTATATTGGTCTTTAAAATTCAGAAAGTGTTACTAATAATTAAGGTTAAAAATTAATACAGACTTAATACATTGTTGAATGCTATGTTTACAAATGATCTGCTAAATGTGCAATAGTTTTCTTTTTACCGTCTCAATCTTTACCTGCTTTCATAAACTTTTATTTTATAGCAAATGATTTATAATTGAATTTTATTTTTCTAAATGTTTGAAATTATTTTATATACTTATCAAATTCACTGGTTTAGGAATATAACTGTCGCCATTTTTGTATTATTTTGCTGAAAGTCCAAAATTCAAAACAAATCATAATTTAGAACTTTTAATATTTTAAATACTGCACGACACCAGGGATTTTTATATTCTTAATACATTAGCGCTTATTATATTTTCATTGGTAATACTTTACATTAGTGAATCTTGCCAAGTTTACATAAAATTGATCTTAAACGATAGGGCATGATCTCGTTTACATTGTTTTTATTGTTATTGTGTTATTTAGCATGTCTGAGCAACGCGGAAGAGGTCGAGCCCGAGGCCGGGCTGGGAGAGGTGGCGATGGTGCCACCCAGCAGCCACGGCGACCTGGCGAACAACAACGAGGCCCGCCGCAACAACAGTCAGCGCCTCCTGGTCCCCGCCCTCAACCGCCATCTGCTTGGGGCCCGCCGACCGTAGCACCTCCTGTAAGGGCTGGCGTTCCCGTACCATCGGTACCAATAGGTCGCGCGTCTCACCGCGGTACTCCAACAACTCATGAACATCCAGGCGATGTAGATATTCAGCAGCGTCTGCAGAATGTTAATATAAGTATGTTGACATTGATACATGACCAATTTTTCTTTTTTTATGCATTGTTTAATTAATTTTTTACTTAAAGGTCAGGCACCTGCGGCCTCGGGAGATGCTCCATCAGCAGGCAGTCGTGGGTCTCGACGGGGCGGCGGTCGCATTTTGCCAGAACAACCTAGTGTGCTGCGAACTAAGCCAACTAATGTTACATCTAAAAAAGGCAAGTTTGGTGTTTGATCAATAAGCATACCTATAAACTGCTAAACTCTATTATATTTGATTGAAAACTAGGTTCTATAATGATATGGTAACATATGACAGACTAGAATCTTGGCATAATTCTGAAATATAATCATTATGTTTGTAGAAAAACATAATTCTTTCTTAGACATGATCTTAACTATTTACTTACAATTCAGTTTTGGACAGGCAGACAGGCCGCTGGCCTTTATTAATTTGTTGAAAATATAGAATATTATTGGCCTTTTCAAATGGGAATGTAGCTGATTACAGAGATAAATATTAGAACTAAGTTCTTTTCACCATATTAATTTCATGAAATAATTGGAGAATTTAATATCTTATAATTTTTGCAGGAAGCTATGGTCATCCCCTTGACTTACTGGTTAATTATTTTGTTGTTGAAACCACACCGCAATGGAGTCTGTATCAATACCATGTTGATATATCTCCAGAGGAGGACAACACTGCTGTTCGCAGAGGTCTACTAAGGATTCACAGCAAAACTCTTGGCGGGTATGTGTTACTACATAATCTACAATCACATAGAATAAACACTAAAATTGACTTCTAACTTGTCTATCTTAATACTGTCTCAATTGGTAATTATTATCTTAGTTTTATAGCCAATAGGTATCTTTCACTATTCTTATGCACAATGAAGGGGCTGCAACACAAGTGCTATTGTTTCATTAAGAAAATTGACTTCCGGAAGGTTCTTCTTTCATCCTTTAATCCATTATATAGCTTTTGCTAAATAGTTTTTGATGTAACTTGTTATGTTCTTTCACTTACATAATTTTATAGATACATATTCGATGGGACAGTTCTGTACACAATGAAAAGACTTCACCCAGAACCTATGGAGTTATATTCTGATCGCAAAAGTGATGGAGCACGGATGAGAATAATGATTAAAGTAAGACTCCATTTAAGTTAGTTAAACTAATTACAGTACATTTTTGATCACGAAAATTGTTAAAAGCAGTTGAGATTTTTATTTGAATTTTTCACATATTGCCACTAAAAATGTAGAATAGTAAACATATATAATGTGAACCTCTGTAACAGATTGTTATTCAGCACAATTCTACAGCATATTTTCACTTCTACATACAAAGTACTTATGGGTAACTGAACAAAAATTAATAACCTGCAGATCAGCTCATGTGTTAAAATGATCAGTGAATCAGCCGAAAGCTCGGCTCAAATTGTACCTGCATAAATTTATGAGTTTTGTTTTAAACTGTGAGATAAAAGGCAGCTCAAGGCTCATCGGCTCAATTGGTTTCAGTACATTGAAATGACCCTTGAGCTGCAGTTTAACTGTCAAATGTATGTGATCTGAATTTTGAGCCAGTTCACAGCTGATTTACTCTTAATATAACATTATTCAGGTCAAGTCTATAAATATCACTTGATTTACACTACAACTACATTTTATTAAGCAAAATTTATTATAATCAATATATTAGGTAAATGAATTTAAAACGGGGTTTTACCAAAACCTTGCATATCCACCTACGTGAGTGGGTTAAACCAGGGATTTGTTGATATATATGTTATCAAGGTTATTAATAATTATATATAACTACAGAAGAAAATACAAATACATATATTTGAAAGAACAAAATACTTTTACTGTTTAATTTAATTGTTGTATTTCACCAACAGCTGACTTGTGCGGTAAGCCCAGGTGATTATCACTATTTACAAATTTTTAACCTTATCATCCGCAAATGCTTCCGCTTAATTCAATTGCAACTTGTTGGGAGAGACTACTTCAATCCTGCAGCTAAGGTAAAAATTTAATTTTAAATTATATGCAAATATTAACCAATTTCATATTTTGTTTTAGTTTTTCCAAATATTTGTGGAGTTGTTGGTTTCAATTTTTTTTTATTTCTGTAAGCTTTCTATATCAATACCATGTGAATTGGTAAGAGTCTTGGTGTCTCAGGAGTTAAAGCACTTGACTTGTTACCTGTAGGTTCTGGATTCGAATCCCGCTATATACCAATGTGTTACTGTACATATATCCGACGTTCTTATCTGAGAAGGAACTCAAAGATATGTGTAAAGTCACTCATCGCTGTAATCAACAGCTTGACTATGGCCTAGTTACTCCGAACTTAGGGTAGGCTCCGAGCCTCTTAGTGGCAATGTATAGTAATCTGATGATAATGAAGCCTTCAATAATCTTAATATTCTATGCTTTAACTTAAAACATATCGAATTTACCAAATAACAAGTATAGTCTTATATTGATAATTGCCCTGTTTTAGGTGGACATCCCGGAGCATAACCTACAGATATGGCCTGGTTACAAAACAACTATCAACCAGTACGAAGACAAGATTCTAATGGTTACAGAAATCACTCACAAGGTATCTAAGTTTGTGATTACATACTTTTTAAATTGAGCTTTTTTTTCATTTTGATTTTTTTTTAAGGTCTTACGCCTGGATACAGTGCAGCAAATGTTAAGAGAATATATCAATACCAAAGGTGGTAACTACAGAAAGATATTTGTGGAAGCAATCACGGGTAAGTTTAAATTGCATTTATCAACATATATGTTGGTTTGTGATGGTAGTATTGGACTAAGACACTAAACATGGTACAATGGTTTTACAATAGTAGAGCCCGCTTTAACATCTTCGCAAAAATTGTCCCGGCTTGCGCAGTGAAATGCCACGACCATACAGAAGACAGGCGTCAAGTGGAAGCAATTCGTGCGTCCCGGAGTCCTAATTTTAGTTCTCTTATCCTTCCCACCCTTTTTCTTATCAGTAAAGGATGGTAAGTGGAATTTCCGGATCAGAGGATGCATGGGAACGCAAAATATTTTCTTTCTGTGCTTCTCCTCCGTCGATTAGACGTAGGCAATGCATATGCAATTGCGTATGTCTATGTGCAACTGTCGCTTCGCTATTTCAGCGATTTCAGGTGGCCGCTCGCTCGTTTGCCACCTTATCATAAAAAAAAACACTAAGTGTATACATTGATGTGTCTATGAATAAGAGTGTCATTATTTACCCATACAATTGTATACAATATAGACATTTGTGCCGCAATTTGTGTCTTAGTCTATTCCTACTTTTAGGGAATGTATAAGAGGATGCTTGGCGAAAACGATTCTTTTTATGTTATACAGTAAAAACTCTTTATTCAATATCCTTTGCAAATGCTGTGAAATAGACTAATAAAGAATTGAAAGTAGACGTTATTACAACTTTGCCTAATATATATTTTTAAATGATATCGCCGCTGTAATTGTTCGGAATTTGACATAAGCCACCTTCGCTGTGATCGGCAACATTATTACTAAAATAATATTAAATGTTGCCACATAGTAGACGTTTCGTCCTTTGGTAGGTGGTGCAGCTTTGTTGTTTCGTCTTTCCATTTGGTATAAAAACTATGATCGACTTTTTTTTATTTTGTCACCTTGAAACGTGCCCCCTATAATCACCGCGAATAAAAAGCTTTTACTGTATTTATAGAATTTTCTATACCAGCTGATTTTGCTGTAAATATTATGTAATACGTTCGTTGTAGCGACATTTCGCAATTCACCCATGGGCCAATGTATTTATTACATACTAGCTGTCACACAACAACTCTGTCCGCGAGGAATTAAAAAAAAATTTTTTAGCCTATATGTTCTTTCAGACTATGTTCTAAATTCGTGTCAAATTTCATCAAGATCAGTTGAGTCATTCCGGAGATATCATCTAAAAAACATTTATCAATCCATTCACCTGAACTTTCACATTTAAGATGTTATTAGCTTTCGCCCGCGACTTCGTCCGCTCCGAATAAAAAAAACAATTATGTGTTCTTCCAGACTCTGTTCTATATGTGTGCCAAATTTCATTGAGATCCGTTCAGCGGTTTTGGAGATACCTTCAAACATCAATCCATCCATCTAAACATTCGCGTTTAAAATATTAGTAAGATTAAGACTTATGTTGCTTTTATTGCGAATGTTATATTATATTAAAATGAAGAAGGTTTAAAAAGCTTGGCGTCCTAGTGTTATTTTCAATAATTAAAATGGTTTTGATTATAATGCTAAACAGCTGTGGAAAGGAGGAGAAACAATACAAGGTATTTCACATTCTCTATCACAGTTTATGTGAATCATATGAATATAGGAAGATGCTTATAGCATGTAATTAGAAGTATAATTATTTGATTGCGCAAATGTTTGTGGGGGGTTAAGCTTAAAAATTTTATCAAGGATACATGTATAAAATATAGAAGTTCTATCTTCTAGATATAAAAGAAAGTCGTGTTACTTACACTAATTATAACTCAAGAACGGTAACCCGATTGGGCTGAAGATTAGTGGTGACTAAACCAGAAGATGAACATAGGATACTTTTGTCCCGTTTACATGGAACATGACATAAAAGTTTTTTTTTAATTGCGCGTGGACGGAGTTGAAGGGAAATGTTAGTATGCCATTATAATTGAAATTTGTTTTCTTTCAGGTCAAATTGTGATGACAGATTATAACAAGAAAACTTACAGAGTTGATGATGTTTGTTGGGATGTCACACCCAATTCCACCTTTAGAATGAGAGATGGTGACATTTCTTACATTGACTATTATTACAAGGTTTGTAATTGAAATGACACCACTGATCTCCATACATAGACTGGCTAAAGCTGTGATATTTTGTGCCTATTTCATTTTCGACATATTGGTAAAACACTGAAGCTTCGGTAGCTGCACAGTGACTCATATGATGTTCCAATCCAACAAGAATTTATAAAATGCTATATCTGTAATAAATTGCTCATTTATGGAATTTATGATAAAAATCTAATTGTTTTTAGGGTTCCGTACCTCATAGGAAAAAAAACGGAACCCTTATAGGATCACTTTGTTGTCCGTCCGTCTGTCAAGACCCTTTTTCTCAAAAACGCGTGAAGGTATCAAGCTGGAATTTATATCAAATGTTCAGGTCTGCGGTCGGTAGGTGCTGTGAAAAAATAAAACTTCTAAGCCAACCCAATCAAAACATACAACCGTTTATGTCGAAAATTTACGCAAATTATCGACATTCGCAATGGAATCAAAACCTACAGGGTACTTCCCGTGAACTTAGTATTTAGAAATTTGGCAGGAAGGAACATCGTAAAGCACAGATAAAGGAAAAATTGCGAAAACCGTAAATTTTTAGTTCCATCATATAAAAAAAATATTTAAAAAAAATTATTGCGTAAAAGGGCACTTCCAGTATGCCTAGATTCTTCAAATTTGGCATGAAGCTAGGTGTTATAGTATACATAATAGGAAAATTCCGAAAACAGTAAATTTTTAGTTTCATCATATAATAAAAACATTTTTATAATTTTGAACTTAATAACCCTCTTCCTCGTGAAGGCGTAGAAGTAATAAATTGCAATTCATATCAAATACTAAAGTCTATAATATCTTTGAGCTGTAATAAAATCAAACTTCTATATCAACGCAATCAAAAGAAAAATCTATTTCATTATATCACTTATTATCTTTAAAATTAAGGTCATAAGTGAACTTTTACTTATACCTGCAAGTTTGTCCGGAACCCTAGAGGCGCGAGTCTGATTCGCACTTGACCAGTTTTTTTTTTCTAAAGAAATTTAATTTGATTACAGAAATACAACATTCAAATCAGTGATCTTAAACAGCCACTGTTGATATCTCGGTCGAAAGCTCGCGACATTCGCGCCGGCATGTCTGAGTTTGTGTACTTGGTGCCGGAGCTGTGCCGCATGACAGGCCTCTCCGACGCCATGCGAGCCAACTTCCAGCTCATGAAGTCATTGGCCGTTCACACCAAGATTGGTCCCGATGTCCGCATCAGGAAACTGCTTGATTTTAATAAACGTTTCACTCAGACTAACGAAGTTGTTGCGGTGAGTTATACTTATAGTCAACTAGCTGTGAACCGCGACTCCGTCCGCGGATTTAAATAAAAATAATTAGTAGCACATGTGTTCTACCAGACTATGGTCTCTATATTTGCCAAATTTTATTCAAAAATCCGTTTAGCCGTTCCGGAGATACTTTGAAATTCACATCCATCCATCTAAATTTTCGCATTAATAATATTAGGAAGATAATAATGAAAGAAATTGGAATTTCTTCAACTACTATTATCAGTACAAACTTTGTATACTTCAAAGTAGTAACTAATAATTAAAATCTTTTTATATGTAGGAATTGGCTACTTGGGATATGAAGCTTTCCAACCAGTTGCTGAGTGTCAAGGGGAGACAGTTGCCACAGGAGAACATTGTGCAAGGCAACAACAAAAAATATCCTGCCGGTGATACCACTGATGGCTGGACCAGAGACATGAGGTAATCTATGTTTTTACTTTCACTTATTCTTTATATGTAGTAGCATCACTCAGTAGTATTGATAAAAGATTGTCTTTTTTTAAACATTCTATTTAATTTTGTAATATTTTTTTTGTGAAATTTGTGAGATAAATGATATTAGATAGTAAGGCTTGCTAAAATTATATAGTTACATGAGAAATTGTGGACTCCCAGTTTTAGCTAAAAGGAGTTTTAGAATGATTAAGAAACGATCATATCTCTTGTTCAAAGAATGGCAATGTATCTGCAGTTCCTTTAGTATTGTGGATGTCGATGGTTGATTGATGAACGTAATATAAATGTTATTGCCTCTTTTTTAGATCAAAGCCCCTACTGTCGATAGCAAATTTGCCATCATGGGTGGTTATAACGCCGAGTCGCCAGCACCAGGACGCCACCAGCTTCGTCAACATGATCATAAAGACTGGCCAGGGTTGTGGCTTCAACATGCCAAGACCTGAAATAGGTAATTCTTGTAAAAAAAAATTGAATCAAAGGCATTGATTATGATACCTGAAGTAATTTTAGCATATTTATGTAAATTATTGCTAAAATATTTTATTTCGCAGTGACAATACAACGCGACGGGACATCCGAATATGCGGAAACGTGCGAGGGAGTAATTGCAAGGAAAAATCCCGCTTTGATACTCTGCGTTCTAGCCAAAAACTCTGCAGATAGGTTTGTTTTGGTCGTAGTCTATGATACTTAAATTAGCAATGATACTGGTTTATGTTACTACTCAACATGCGTTATAATGTAGCGTCAGTTAAACATCCAATTTTTTTTTGTCATTATTTTTACCTGACTGATAAAAGGGTAATGTTTTTCGTGCATATGTAAGTTAATGTATAAATTCCACGACCTTGAGCCTTAACGGCTGAAGATTGTGACACCTGTTATTCAATTCGTCTTCTCTGGATTGTTGTATTACATCGGTATAATACATGTGCAATAGACGTAAGAAAAAACATGTTTTATAAATGTTGACTTTCAGGTACTCAGCTATTAAGAAGAAATGCACTGTGGACCGCGCGGTGCCCACTCAAGTGGTGTGCGCTCGCAACATGACCGCCAAGTCTGCCATGTCCATTGCAACCAAAATCGCTATTCAGATTAATTGCAAGGTAATTTTAATTAAGTTTTTTCGTGATGGAACTTCATACTTGAAGAAAAATTCAAAAATTTGCGTAAAGTCAAGATAAAGGCTCAGAGCCTATAGACTTAGCGTAGCTAATTGGAGCTGTTTATTATGTAGGCAACCTTTAGACTACTGATCACAAATGCTTATGAACTGCAGTGGTCTTAATATTTAGCGAAATTAAGTGCCCACTTGCTTATCCGCTTTTAAAATATATTTCACTGCCGCAATAACCCATTGGTGCGCATATGCAACGAATATAATTTCATTAACAACTTGGACATATATTTAGTGATAGCTTAACATCTTTTAAAAATTATTTAAATTATAAAAATCATGTATATAACCTTTTAAGATTTAAAAAATGCAACTAATGTAATTTGTGCATGCCTATAATTGGCATACATATGCAAAATGTCTGTGTGAAATTTTTTAATCCTATTATTTTATATGTATGCTGTTGAATTGTCTTAATAAATAAGTAAAACATATCTAGTTTAATAATAATCCTTATATTCTAGCTCGGAGGTGCTCCATGGACGGTGGAGATTCCGCTGAGCGCACTGATGGTAATTGGGTACGACGTGTGCCACGACACGCACAAAAAGACGAAGAGTTTCGGTGCATTCGTGGCGACAATGGACCGCCAGATGACGCAATACTATTCCGCTGTAAACGCCCACACCTCGGGGGAAGAGCTCAGTGCGCACATGAGCTTCAATGTCGCCTCAGCACTCAGGAAATTTAGAGAGAAAAATGGTGAGTAAACATGTCATGAAAAGATTTATAACTTTTAATAATTAAACTATATTTTTTCCGTCTGTGCGTAATTAAAAAAGGAACCAGAAGAAACCAGAATATTCCTATAGACGACTCCTGGTGCTATCTTCCCACCAATTTTCAGAAAAATCGGTTCAGCCATTCTTGAGAATAACTAACACGATGTTATTATTATTGTTGGTCATGACTTTGCTGGCGTTGTCTATAAAATATGTAATTGATAATGGATTTGTTTTCTATCTGACATAACGTGAAAGCGTTACTATCTTAGTAGTAAAACTTTACACGTGTTATTTCAAATAAGCAATTTATAACGTAATTGCTATGTCATAAGATGATTTTTGTTGTATTATGATTTAAGGTACCCTGCCTTCTCGCATTTTCATTTACCGCGACGGCGTTGGAGACGGTCAAATTCCATATGTTCATGGACATGAGGTATTAATAAACACAATATTACAATCGATTTTAAAAATAACTGAATCAGTATTACAAATACAGTATACTAGCTGTGGCCAGCAACTCTGTCCGCGCGGAATTAAAAAAAAAACTCAATAGCCTATGTGTTCTCCCAGACAATGTTCTACATGTATGCCAAATTTCAGCGAGATCCATATGGCCGTTATGGAGATACCTTCTAACATACATCCATTCGCATTTATAATATTAGTAAGATTAATATCTTAAAGTTTATAGACTTTCTAGAAATTTCTTGCTTTTTTGTAACGACGTTGTACGAAACGGTATGATTTCTTTTTTATTTATCACGATACTGAATATTTTCTTAGGTTGGTGAAATTAAGAAGATACTCAATGAAATATACGCCGGTGCTGAGGTGAAGATGGCCTTCATTATTGTTTCAAAACGTATCAATACACGCATCTTCCTGAAAAACGGCCGCGGAGAGAACCCGAAACCGGGAACTATCATTGACGATGTTGTTACGCTGCCCGAAAGGTAAATACTGATTTTAAAATATATTATTAAAAAAAAATTGCCTAACCACATCACATCTTTATTGACTCAAATATATCCAATAGATGTAAATTTTAGGTTTGATTGATTGAAGTTAATTTAATACTCCCACCCATTCAGAAAGCTACTGGTATTTTTTCACGAATGTCATGTTAAAAAATTATTATTTGTTTTAAAAAATCATAATTTTATGTATGTATTTCAGATATGATTTCTACCTGGTGTCTCAGAATGTTCGAGAAGGTACAATTTCTCCGACTTCATACAATGTTATTGAAGATACGACTGGCTTTGACCCAGACCGAGTAAGTATATCCAATGCTATATTATATATAATATATTTATATATAATATATTTTCACTGCATATTTCCATTGTTGTCACATTTATATATATACACTAGTTGCCGCCGGCGACTTAGTCCACTCGAAATTGAAAAAAAAAGATCATTATAAGCCTATGTTCTACATCTATGCCAAATATTAGTAAGGTCCCTGTCGCCGTGCTAGAGACATCTTCTAACAAACATACAAACATCCAAAGATTTGCATGTATAATATTAGTAAGATATCAGCTTCTTCATTCTCTTTAGAAAATCTGACAGTATGTAATTTTAAAACATGAAATAAAATTAAAGAAATCTTTAAATATCATGATTATTAAACTTTTTGCTATTAACACTAACATCCTAACTGATATTTTTGTTTCAGATCCAACGTCTGACATATAAGATGACGTACATGTACTTCAACTGCTCGAACCAGGTCCGTGTGCCCGCGGTGTGCCAGTACGCTCACAAGCTGGCATTCCTCGCAGCCAACAGTCTACACAGCCAGCCTCACTACTCTCTCACAGAGACGCTGTACTTCCTGTAAATTTCATGTATTATGACTGTTTATAAATTTTAAGTATACCTCTTTTCAAATATCTTGGCGGCTCAAGGTCACCTGTGTTCCGAGCCGAGAAGATATTTGAAAATCTCTATAACATTTGATTACCCACCGGGTCTACTAATCTATTTAGTATAAGATAACGGACAACATGGTTGCTTTATTTTTTGTTGTACTTTACTTAACAGCATCATCTAAATGTACGGCCATTTATAGGCTACAAACTGCATTTAAATGTGTTTAAAAGTCAAAGAGAGTTCCTTAGTATTTATTCTCGTACTAAATCTACATTAAGAGACATCTTAAGGCCTTTCGTACACGTGGCTACGTAAATCTTGGATACCCGGCGATTTTAGTATCAGCGACTTATGCAAGATATGTGTCAGTGGTATACAGGCACGCATCGCAAAAATGTTGTATTCGTCGGGAGACGGGAGCTAGGGATAGCCAGTCGCTAGCTACTGGTTAAAGTCGTCGCTCCAAAAGTTGTCGCGATTTTCAAGATGGCGGAGCAAATCTACAGATGTAATTTCATGTCAGTTGTGTAGTTGATATGACCGAATAGACGGCTAGCGTCAAAGATTCATTGTAACGATAATATCTGAGATGAGATGTATCTTTTTATACGAAGGGCTAAAACCTTAAACTCGTTTGAGTAGTTCCAATCTTAAGCGATCTTATTTTGGAAATATTGATCGCCATGTTTATAATTCTTTATTACTTAATACATTTCTTTAGGTTATTAGAAACCAAAGTATATTAAAATATTAAAAACATAATTTTTCATTATAACATTGGTAGCTAACCTCAATTCTAATATACTATTAAATTGTTGGTGTACTTAATTCTTAAGACAAAATGTAATGCTTCATTGTCTTTGGCTGACGATTCTATTTAGATCGATGCGTCATTTTATAAGTACATATAAAGTACAGTTAAATTACTCTAGGAGTGAATGAGTCTCCATTTTTTTTATTTTTTTTTACATTTTGATTAGTGTAGAGTGACTGAGTAAGTATTTGAGGTGCATTTCGTTGATTGTTTTGTAGATTAAGTCGATTATTTCTTTATTAATTTTAAAATGCTCAGTTAAGATATAAAAAAGATAGATATTGATGTGCCATTGAAAATGACTTACCGTGGGTTTCTGACAACAAAATATCTGTATAAAATATTTAGTCATATCTGTCTTTGATCTTTGACAAAACAGAGTTTTCAGATGTTTTAAACGGAGATTTTAGACTCAGGAACCCTCTGTTAGATTCTAATAATTTCATAACTTCAGTAGAGATATAAGAAAGAGGCTATCGCCTATAATATTCGACTTTGTTCTAGCTTAGGTCCTTCGTATTCGAAACTGCATTTTTGATTAACATATTTTTATATAATTTTACTACTGTTTTGTACTAATTGTAACTTTGTGATTAATCATACCTCTCGCAAAATAGTCAAACTATAAATGTTCCGGACCTCAAATGGTTGCCATATTCGGCTGAAAGCTAATTTTGTTATGTTTTTAGTAATAGGTCTAAATAATTTACAATGTAAACTCTTTATAAAAAAAAACTCATTATTAACTATTTTAGTTATTGTAAGATACCTATAGTGTGTATTTAAGATAGATTAGTTTGACAGTTTTAAAAAGAAAACCTTTTTTTTATTTTGGAAGTAAGAAAACTGTCTAGTTATTTTTTTATATTTTTCACAGCATTTAAAGGCCAAAGTCAATACGTGAACAAAATTTTTAAAATACTTGAAAAAGAGATTGTAAAGAGGTGTATTTTAGATTTTAAGAACAACCAGTTGTGGTTAAACACTAGTTTATTCAATATTAAAAAAAAACTATTTTTTCTTTATAGTTTAAGGAGTTGTCTTATGAAGAGTTTACATTGTATTTGATATCTTGTAAGTGAAGAGCGATATCGCTCGTCTTTTTACTATTAGCGACTTCTTTAATTTGTTATGTCGACCAGAATAAATATGCAGTAACGTATGATGTTATTGGGCTTCCTTCCTGTCTTAGAACTGAGTCGATAAGAAGGTGATATGTATTCATTCCGGATAAGTTGGTACTAAAAGTATCTTAAGCAAGCATGATGTAAGGCTTAACACAGACGGGCCACCGACCACAGCCACCGGTGGCAAACGAATTCACACGATTTTTCATACGTTTTGTTACTGTAGCGTATGAAAAATCGTGTGAACCGGTTCTCCCTGGCCAACGGTGGCCCGTCTGCGCCCAGCCTAAGCTGTTTTTTTTTGTGGTTTTTTTTCTGGTCCCAACTATATTTTCAATTGTCTATCAATATAAGATTTAACTCTTGTCTATGTGTGTTTTATTTTCAAACCCTTTTACGTATTTATATTACCAGTCGCAAAATGTTTAAAGGATTGCTATTGGCCAGTAAGAATTTTTGACACAACATATTTAGTTCTAAACAAATATTGGTCGGAGTGAACGACCCTTATAAAAGTCACTAGTAGACCAGATTTTTTTTTTGCAAAGTCGTAAGATGCAAATTGCAGAGAACTGATAGGACCACTTTGTTGTTCGTCTGTCTGTCTGTCACGACCCTTTTTCTCTGGAACGCGTGAGATATCAAGCTGAAATTTATATCAAATACTCAAGTCTACTGTCCCTTGATGCTGTGAAAACAATAAAAAGCCAACGAAATCAAAAGATACAGCCGTTCACAGTAACATGACTAAAATCGTAGACAAGCGATCCTCGGAAAAAAGTAAACTGCTACTGAAAAAATTCTAGAATATTGTACCTAATACTTTTACTGTTCTACATTTCTGATTTTATATAGTTTTGAAATATAATTATACCTCATAAAAGTTAGCACGCAAAAGCTACTTATTAGGCCTAACCACGAACTGAAAACGCCGAATCGATTTGCATGTTTACATCGCCGCTGTTCATGGCAACGCTCTTGTTTGTTGCAGTTCGTTGTTGCTTTTGTAAATTGTGCTTTATATTATTAAGTGCGAAGCAATGGCCGAGGAGAAAGATAAAGACGAAGCTGAAGACTGGAAGGTATATGAATCGTTGTGTGACAAAAATCAAGACGAGGTTAGTTTGTACAAATTATATTTCAATTTAATTTATTATTAGTTTACATTCAAAAATTATTTATTACAAAAAAATATTCATTAGTCGCAATTTATTACACAGTTACTCAATAATATTACAGATATTTATGGTCTTCCATACATTATTAGCGAAGCACTGTAATTGTTTGCTTTATTTACTCGTAATGTTAAGCAATGCTTACATTAAAAACATTACGAAAATCTAACCAACATATATTGGTATTGAGTTTTTACCGCCCTTATCTTATTCTACGGGTCTTATTACTGTTATCATTTTGAAATGAAGTTTTTTTTTATATAATACATTATAACAGTTTTATGTATTAAGGTAAAGTGTTGTGTGTGATAAACATAATGAAACTCATAGTAATAAACATGAATACAATACATAAACAGTAAATAATAAAAAGTACGTGGCTTTTTATAATTGTTTTTTTTTCTATATAGTATTTGAAACGTCCAAGCAACGTCAAATCAGTTCATTTATGATGTTAATTTATAATTAATTAGATTTAATATTATACATTCAAGAAGTACAGCTTTTACAAAAGTATACCTAAATCAGTGTAATCGTCGACAAAATGTCACTAAATTTTTGTCTTCGTGTTTAAATACCAAAATAAATTAATCGACAAAGTAGCTATAAACTATGACTCGAGGGAAATCCTTCCGCATATCATGCAAATTACAGATATCGCATAGCAGTAAGGGAGGAAGGTAAACTTATACAATCGTATGAAAATATCGTGACTCTTCAATGAACGGCTTACAGCCCCAAGCACGCAACGGCTTGTCGAAATACGTACCAAGTACAATAACTGTAGTCTACCCCCGCACGCCATGCAATACCGTCTTCCTTGCGATTGAAAATTATATTCAGTTTTCGGGTTATATCTTGTATTCACTGCATTGCGTAAGTTTCAAAGATTAAAATCATTTATGGTATTTTTGCATCTATATTTTTGATGCGTTTTTCACAGATGGATACAGATGTCGGTAATGACGTGGTAACCGCTCTTAGGAGTGATCTGGCAGGACTGCAGTACAAACGAGACAAATTATTATCAGAAGTAAGTATTTCTATACAAAACTGTATGAGAAAATACCTGTTTTTGATTATAGACCTAATCACTGAATCTAATTTTGTAGAATAGTGATTTAAAGAACCAAATGTTGTCAAGAGACCAAAGGATTTTGGAGCAGCAAGTTGAAATCGATCACCTTCGTGAGCAAAATGCTCGCCAAAATGCTATCATATCGTCTCTCAAGAAGAAAATTCAGGACCTGGAAGAGTCACAACGTAACTTACAAGCTTCACAGGGCAGAAGCGAGCTCACAGTACAAACGTTACAAAGAGACAATCGATACTGCGAAGAGAAAATAAAAGACTTAGAGAAGAAGATACGATCGCTAGAATTAGAGTGTCACAATGAAGAACAACAGAAAGAAAACGCACGTTGCCAATTCCATGACTTAGTGCGTCGTTTATCAGTAGCCTTGGAGTCAGACTTTTGTGACACTACCCACACACATTCACCAGAAAGTTTGATAATAAAAGCAGCTGAGCTTGTCCAAGAGATAACGAGACTTAAAAATAAATGTATGAACACAACTGAAAACATGTCTACTATAGAACAAGATTTGAGAAGTTGCAGAGACAGCTTGGAAAGAGCAAATGCGGATAAAGATATATTGCAAAGGCAACTTTCTTCTCATTTACTCGAAATTGAAAGAGTTAAACAAGAGAAAGAGTCACTTGCGGTTCAGAATAGAGTTATAGAAAGAGAACTTCACGAAGCGCGTGAGAAGATATCGCATTGTACAAAAAATTTAAATGTTGTAACTGATAATGTTAATCAAAATGAGTCATTAATCATACAACTGAAAGGTACTTGGTTTATTTCTCAATTTTCATCTATTCCTCAAACCCTATTCTCAATATAAAGTAGGTGCACGAGGAGGTAGTCTAACTCTATCCTTATTCCGATGAATATCCCTATATCCAGTAGAAAATAATAATTATTGTTCATTTTTTAAAATTGACGTTACTGAGATTTTTTCATTTTCAGAGGACCTAAGACATCGTGACGAAAAATATCAAAAATTGCAAAGTGAATTTCGTAATACAATGGAATCAATTGCCATTCTATTGAGTTTACCGACGCGTTTTGTGGAAGCTCACGAAAGCACAATCAAAGATAGAATTCGTGAAATATTGGGTGAAAATAAAGACAAGTCTTTGGTATGTACATTATACTATGAAATCATGAAGTATCTCTAAACATACAAATAAATGAAGAATACTAAAGTATTATGCACTGTTTAAGATAACTTCAATTGATACTTTTCAAAGAATTCTGTATCTACATGTTTGCTTATTAATCTTTTGAATTACTTCCACAATCGAACTGCGGAACTAGATAAAGTGCATTCGAATCAAAGCGAGTCCATAACGAACTTCAAAAATGTATAGAATTGACAAAAACTTTCAATAAATCACGTGAATGTCGCGCGTCAGTTCCATACCTTTCTGAAATTCGTTATGGAATAGTTTCAGAGGGAATACACTTTGTCTAGCCCCGCTGAACTACATATGACTCAAGCGTCCAATTTATACCATTATCTATAGCCTTGATACAAGAATTTCAATTATTTACTCATTATAAAACACTAAGCCTAGGCAACGTGTTAATCTTGTTACTAGAATTAATCGTTTCTAGTTATTCAGAACTAGTATAAACCCATATTAGTTACGAAAGAGTAAAAAATATGCCATTATTGTATTTCTTTGAAGTCATTATACGATAAACGCTCTTATTTTTTACTTCTTAATTGTATTTTATCGTATATAATGTTAGGAAGAAAATCCGACACTGTGCCGGTATACTGGCACAACACTACCAACCATACGAAAATGTCGACGTTTAAGTCCCCTCACTATTCATTCTGACACTTGCTTTAGAAAAGAAAGTGCGCCTAAATAATGTCTAAAAATAATTAATTATATTATTAAATAGATTTTTTCTCAGCAACATCTTCTTTATCTTTTGGTATATTGCGATCGTATGGTTTGCAGCAACTAGAAGCATTGCGTGACAAGCTTGGAATGGAATCACAGCAGTTAAGCAGAAGCGCCCACTTGCATGAACAAGCCAACACCCGGGTTCGAATCCTAGAAGACGAAAGGAACATGTTGGAAACGAAGGTTCACAAGTTGGAGTCAGAATTGAACGCAATGGAAATTACTAAGGATGGACTTCGTAAGGACAAAGCTAACGTTAGTTCATTTTATGATTAAACATTTAAAAACCATATCCTAGCACAAGCTTAGTTGGAATGGTACAAAAAATATTAGTAAATTTACAAAAAAAACTGCTAATATTTAATGTAAAAAAATCTCAAGAAAATTTGGCACAGATGAACGTAGTCTGAGAGAACACATAGGCTACTAACAAAGTTCTTTTAATTCTGAGCTCATAGTCTCAGATGAAAGCTAGTGTAATAATATCTCATAATTTAAAAATAGAACTAAAAAAGAAAAATAATAAATAAAACTGTTATTATAATAAGCGATATGTCATCGGCCAGTACACGGAAGGCGGTGGAGCGATTAACTTTTTTTTTTATTTTTAAAAGAAAAGTATTTTATTGTTACAGTTTGTAGCATTCCTTGAGCGCTTGAGCAGGACGCTAAATATGGATGAGTTGACCCAGGATGTGGGCATAGAGTTGCACACTGAATCGATTATCCATCGCGCCGAGCAACTGTCGAGACTCGAGAGCGATAAAATCGTCGACAAGGTCAGTTTGCATATCACGTACATAAGAAAGGTTGGTTATAAAAACGTTAAAAAAAATTCAAGCCGTTTAAACCGGATCGCTTATATGTCGCATATAACGATAATTTTTATTTATTGGACCAAGGAGTTTTTTATCTTTAATGATCTGACTATTGAATATTGAATGGTATACTGAATATTGCATACAAAAGATATTTTTAAAATCAAATAAAAAATTTATAATTGTTATCCGTAAAGCTGTCCAAATTACTCTCCCATACTACAAGATTTTTATTTCTTCGACGAAATTTATTGTTTAAAGCTACGCACTTGAACAAGTGTGTCATCTTTCTTGAATTCATTCAAGCTATAAAACAACCATATAAATTAATAAACACACTCGTTAAAATTTAAAATTAACTTGTATTAAATTTTAATTAATATTTGTAGCAACAATGTCAATGTTCACGCGGCCCTTGCATGATGAAGTACAATATTATACCGCTAGCTTGGAAAGGCATTGTCGGGTATTTTACTGCATATATTTTAATAATTATTGTAAATTGAAGCGTCTCGTATAGGGTTGCCACAAATACCTTTCGGTTCTAAAAAAAAATTATAGTAAAAAACTTTTATTATAGCAATATTTTTTTTTTAAATTATAAGACCATTGTTAGTAAATGTAGACCAAATTAACATATTTATGTAGTTTATATCATGTTAATGTGTAACGATGGACAACCCTAACATTGGAATGTACACGTAAGTGTCTCAGGTGTATACTAAAAATCATTTGTGATTTATTCTTATAAAGAAAAAGATTATACAACATTGATCACAATCACGTAATGTAAGGATTGTTTTTATCTGTTATGAGCTTATAAAGAATGGAAATCTGGGAAAAAGACATCAAGGTAACGATGGAAATCTGATTGATACAGTCATGTTATTTTTTTATTTCACGTATGAAATCCGTGAAACGTATTGGAATAGTAAATTATTTCTGTTAATAAATAACAAAGGACGGAATAAACAAAGTTTGATGACAGGCGCAGTGTAGGTGATATTTTAAAATGAGTTTTTACTAATTATTATATTTAAATAAAGGCAAAAAAAAACATTGGTATAAAATGCATAATAAAACATTAAGTTATATCTTTTAAAGCTACTCTTGTCTGTGCTTTAAAGCATTCTCAGTATTGATTAAGTATTGATATTTGTTTCTGCGTATTCAAATTAAAAGTTAACTGAATTTTACTGCGTAATTACCTAATTCGTTGCTTACCTTTAAGAAAGGGATATATACTTTTTCAGTATGTCTCCACCTCCGTCAAATTCACTTTCCCTTTCCCATCTTTTATTATAAGAAAAGGGTGGGAAGGGAAAGGAGACTACAATTAAGTCTCCTGGTCGCATACCTATCAGACTAAAAGGGGAATTGCTTCCACTATATGTGTTATATGTGGTCGTGATATTTCACGGAGCAAGTCAGTTCGTTCGACAGATGTTATTGCTATCGTCCACCACTTTTATGTATATTTTAAAGTCAATATATCCGTTTGTCTGTATAGATGCTATATTACGGGTACTATGGCACGCTGCCGCGCCTGCGCAGAGAAAGATCTTTCCATGATTTGCCATATCTTAAAGAAGTAAGAAACGTAACCAATTGGCATGATTAAGTAGAATTGAAGATTCTTAAAGCTTGCAATATTCCACAGTAATGCCTGCACTAAGTTATTGCAAACTAAGTAATAATAACTTACAAGTTATATTAACCTAAGCACTAAATAAGTATGCAAATAATACTACCGTAGATAATAATTAGATAGCCGAAGTACCCAATTAAAATATACCGGATGTTGGTACACGAAATAATATTATGTCAGCAAAATATTTATGTGAACAACTTAAGGTCAATACTTAACATTCTCTGCTACTTAACTAGAATTTAATAAACGTATTTCACTTTTATTCACCAATCACTTAGGTTATTTTAAAAACACAAAATGCCAATTATCTTCGTATTACAACGCTGTACGGGAAGCCCTATGAAAAGCATTTTAATATAAAGAAATTGTAAGAACGTATTATCGTTTGATTTATTACAGACTGCAGTGGTATATCAATTGCAACGACGTATACGAATATTGAGGGAACAGCTGCAAAGAAAAGATTTACATTTGGATCTATTGAGACGCAAATTAAGTGTTCAGGTAAAATGTTTCATTTTCAATTATTTACTTAATAATAGCCAACAGATTTCTTATAGTAACCAATTTGTTTTACGAAATTATATCGATGTTAGAAGTCCATGATCTATGAAGTGGTGTATTTAGTAGAATTTAATTGATTCAAAGGATTTGACAAAGGCAAATCTTGGGTCCAGTATTAGGTATCTTGAAGAATAACGTCCTGCAGCCGCATTCATACATGTTAATAAGTCCCTAAAGGAACCTTAGTGTAGATTAATCATACTAAAAAAACCTAAATTACTACAGTTAACATCTCTAAGTGCGGCAGATAATGTGTAGGAGGAGAGTTCCCGTGTTCGCGCTGTTTTACAAGCTGAACGTGATGAGGCGGCGTGTCGGGGCAAGAAGATGGCGCGTCAGTGTGACCGTCTCGCCGCGCAGCTTGCGGATGCGCGAGCGCAGCTGCGGGACCTCAACGCGCAGCTGGCGGACGCCGCAGAGTACAAAGTCAGTCACATAAACAAAACTTTTTAGATGTGTTTAGCCTTAAATGTTGAATAGTCCACGATTGCGCCTTAATTAAGCAATGACTGGAACTCGTAAGTAACATAAAAAACAGTTTAGCTGCTTTAAATTCTCAGTATATATTATGTAAATACAATGAGCTTTTAAAGTAGAGGGAGCGAAAAAGCTCACAAACCAGTATACGTGATAAAGGTCATGCGACTAGGTTTCAAAGTAGACAGGCGTCAAGGCGCTGGCAACCGCAAGTCAAGTGCACTGCCCACGCCTTTTTACACTGATGTGTGTTCGTGTTTGTTACACTTCAATGGTACTATGTAATAATTATCCCATAATTTAGCTAGTTTTGTTGATTTGTTGACTCAAAAGCACTATCTTTTCTCTATCATTTATATTTCTATCCATAAAAAATTTGCTTATGTTTATATCCATGTGTCGCCCGCGACTCCGTCCGCGCGGATTTGAAAAAAAACTTAATTAGTCGCCTATGTGTTCTTCCAGGCTATGTTCTAAAATTACAAGCGAGATCCATGCATCTTTACATTCGAATTTATAATATTAGTAAGATTAATAAGATATATTTTTGTATTCGAAATACTTGTAATAAATAGTATGGTAATTTAATTTAACTTTATTGGAGTTAAAATAACCTTAGTCTAAATCACTTAAGTCGTACGTTTTTCGATGTAATTCTATGTCAACTTTTATCTGTTCGTTGCCTAAGTATTTAGAAATGCACACATTGTATTCTAAATGTGTTGGTGCAACACTACTTCTCCTTAAGCCAATGTAATGCATTTGCAATATAACGCGCAAATATCGCGATGCCATTCCGTTTGATCATGAATTTTAAATCTCCAACGATGTTGTCGAGTAATAAAATAAAGATACATCAATCCGCTTTTATTGTTCTTCATTTTAGTAACTATTTAAGTCTTGTATAAAATTGGTGATTGGAAATTTCAAATTACAGTTTTGCGTCAACATTTTTATGTATTACTTGCTGTCGCCCGTGAGTTTGTCAGTGCAGAAATAATATATTATAGTAGAAATTAGAAATATCTCATATTATATCCTTATGCATCGCATCAGCTACCTTGTCGTCCAAGTCCCATCAAAATCGGTCCTTGCGTTCTGGAGATTATCCGGGACAAATGCGGACTTGCAGTACAATCGGTCAGAAAAGATTGACAAAAATTTAATTCAATTATTTGTATATTTTAATAGTAACATTTTGGCATTAAATCACGTGCACAAATCGTGATATAAGTATATAAGAAACGTCACTAAATATACATTATTCGAACACGTGTAATGACCAAAATAAGTCGTCATTCGATAGTACTAAGTACACGGATATAATCTGTGGCAACAAGTAACTCGAAGTAGATTTACTGGAATAATTGCTTCTCGAGGTCAAAATCATTTTCTTAATACAAACGTGATCTCATTCGAAGATTTAGTTATTACAATTATTGTAAGTGCTTAGAATATAATCAGATTAAAAAAATAAAGGAACCGATTATAACTATAGCCTATTTTGATCATGCAACCTCGTAAATGTTATTAAATTATCTGTACTTTAAGGATAATTAAACGGCTTTATGCGTCGTCTTGTGTAACTAAGGGAAAACCTTAATCTAATCTGGGTCAAGGTTCGGCCCTCTAGGGCGCTCTCGAGCTGGGATGAATAATAATAACCATAGACTATGTACCCGTGTTTTTGAGCCAGGCTCAGAAGGAACACAAGTGACAAAACTTTCTTTTTAACTATTCTCTTTCGACTCAATCTTTTTTCTTAAAATTTGATAGATATTTTTTGTACTTTGCCAAACTAATTAACATTGAAATTCTTTAGATATCATCTCTAGAAAGAGCACGGAAAATAGAAGATTTGGAAAAGAAATTAGAAGAGGCAGATATATTGAGAACTCGTTATAATCGCAAAGTTAACATTTTGAAAGAACAAATTCGTACCACAGGCGAGACATACGAACAGGAAAGAAATACAACTGAACATCAAATCAGTTTACTAAGAGACGACTTGGCCAGAACTAAAGAGGCACTTGCGGAATGCCAGAGAAGAGAAGCACAATTGACAAGCTTCAGGTAAATATACTATTTAATACAATTCCTATAAAAGATATACTTTGACAAAGTTCCGCCTGAGTAAATTGTGGGTAGAGTTTACTTCAAAAGAAAATCATCATTACAAGACGAAGATGAAGATATATGATCGTTATATAGAAGAACCATGTTATATTTTATTTTCTGCGTTATCCTCAGGATTTGATACAATATACATGTCAATGATTAATTATATACAATAGTTTAAACGATTTAATTATCTTTAATTAAAAAATTTAGAACATTGATAAAGATTTATTACAATCAGTTGACATAAAAACATCAAATTTACGTGTACATATTCGTAAATCATTTTTGATATCATCAAGATAAAGTGAATAGGGTCATTGTAACTACCACAAAAACTCCGCCACGACTGAATGCACCGCGCGTACAGTTCATTGTCATCGTGTATCACTATTTTTAGATAACTAACTCGTTCAGTTTTTTTCGTTAATAATTTATAAAAAATCGAGATGAGATTACAAACTACATTTTTAATATTGAATTCAATTAATTTACCTTTTTAATGAAATTAGCATCTAAACATACAGAAATAATTAACACTCATATGTCCTATTGTAAGACGCAATAATACACAAAAATAAAACAAAAGACAAACAAACGAATTAAGAACCTCTTCCTTTTTTAAATCAATCCACTCATACATGCTTTGGTTTTGAATTTTATATTTGTTTTATAGGAATTCCATCGCCAAGCTCCTCGGCATCCTAGTACCGTCATCCGTATCGGACTTTGAAATGGTATCCCGACTTCAGAAGTTGATTGACGCTCACCATGACTTCACTGTGGTGTCTCGTCGGTATGACGACCCCGCTTTGCTGCGCGCTGCCTCCCGCTCTCCGCCGCCATCAAGATGCAGGACAAGAACTCCTGACAGGCAAGTCACAATATCTCTACACAGGAGGGTTCTGGTATAGAGATAACTCCTTAGTGCTTTGGAGATTCAGTACAGGAATTCCTTCCTACAGCTCGCGACTCTGTCCTCGCGGAAATAAAAATAACTTAATCAGTAGGCTATGCTTTCTTTCAGGCTATGTTCTACATCTATGCCAAATTTCAGCGATATCTATGCAGCCGTTGTGGAGAAACCTTCAAACAAACATCCATCCATCCAAACATTCGCTTTTATAGTACTAGTAAGATAAGGACACATATGTAAGCTAAAGCAGTAACGTAGTTGAAAAGATCTGAAACTAGACTCCTAAAAGGTAAGTTTGCTCCATGATTTGGTAGTGGCGCTTATTCTGTTTTGTTATGGAGCCATGATTGTGGATTGTGACAACGATAGTTATAATCTTGTGATAGCTAAGTTCTTTGTAAATTAACTTTGTGTTTATCTGCTCGGATGAAGTGATACTGTATTTAATTTCAGTTAGAAACGCTTTTGAACCATCTAAAGACTTTTGGCATAAATTTTCAATTGTTTGTACAGCAATGAATAAATTATCATTGTTTAGACGTGTGATAATTATTTATCATAAGAACGTGTTCAAATTTGCTTTGATTATGATTCAATAATAGAATTGATTTACACAGCCAGGTGGGCAGCCGGGGAAAGGCACACAATGTAGGCGCGGTAACATTAACAAGTCTGTTAATACCGCAAATTGATATTTACTTTATAAATCCATTATTTTATATATAAAGAACTTTTAAAAAATGTTAACATTTTGTAGCTTTATAATCACTGCAAGGTTGTATAGTAACAAGGCTATCAGGTAAGGTGACAGAGGCGCTATTATCGCGGTTAGATCCGTCATAAAATATATAAAACCTACTTATTCACAGAAAATGCCATAAAAGAAACAAATACAAGACAGTCATAGTACAACAAGGAGCGTGTGACCTTTTTTTGGCATTGACAGGGTGGCGCTAGTAGACTGTCATAATTTAGTTTAACTTATGTCCACCGGGTCAGATATCCTTGTCAGTCTGTGATAATGGTTGGCTTATCGTGGGTTTCTGAGACCAAAATCCGTGTTTAAAACATATTGTTATCTCTGTTTTGTCAAAGTTAATGACAGGGATTATATGTTTTATATAGTTATTTTAGTCTCAGAAACTCACGGTTAGTCTGTTTGAGATGTAACTAAAAGTTGAAATAGACTTGTGAGGAGCTTTTAAAGCTATCGACGCTCTACAAAACTTGGAATAAGTGACACTAAGAGACCTTTATACTTTTATCATATATTTTTCAAGATTTAGAGTACAGTTGTACAATGCATCCCGCAGGTCTCTCCGCTACGACGACTCGGGGTACGCAGACCCAGGCTTCGACTTGGAGGATGAGGTGTACAAGCGATCGGGCTTGTGACCCGCGCGCCGGCGTGCACGCTTTTAGCCGCCGATCATGACCTTCACTTGACATTGCAGTCTTTTAAATTAGGTCAACATATTAAAAAAAAAGACATAAAAATGTGCACAACATTTATTATTAAGATTGACGATTATTTTAAGTAATATCATACGTCTTGGTTTCTTTTTTATTTTAACTTACTATAATAATTTATTTAATACAAGGACAGTTTAAAATGATTTATATTACAAATTCCATTATTAGTAAGAATAGTTTTTTAAGCTATTTTCGTTATCAAAGAATTTATTTTATTATATGTTTTATAAAATTAACCATAACTTTAAGTACAATTTAAAAAAAAACCATTGCAAAAATCGAAAAATGTCCAAATTTCTAAACATATCAATAGGTTAATTAATATGTTTTTGATCTCATAGAGTACTTTAAATATAAACGTAATTAAACATATCACTCATAGTCATTCTTTGGTAGCTAAGGGAGGTCCTTAGTACAGATTTAATATAAGAACCTTTACACGATTCACAGTGTGTCAGAAGACATTAAATTATAAGATTAATATTAAGAATTTGTATCCTAGGAATTTAACTATAATTCGTTGTTACGTAGTTGTAGTTTTTCTGTAGTTATGTAACGAGATGTTGAACAGGAACAGTTGTTATGGTTACAGGAATGTCTTCATATATTGTTAAGTGAAATTTAAAAATCACCTCAACCTGATAAATAAAATAAAACAATAAAACAATGGCAAGATAATGTTATTCATTCTAAAGTCACTGTTTAGTTCTTTATTTGAAATATGAAAAAAAATAATAAGCTTGAAATATATGTTGTAGAGCGTCGGTCGCTGAAGGGTTAAGCACTTAACTTGCAATCTGCAGGTCGTAGGTTCAAATCCCGCTATGTACCAAGGTGTTTATCAATTTCCGATTTACATATGTAAATTTATCCGACATTCTTACGGCGAAGGAAAACATTGTGATGCAACCTGCACATATCTAAGAACAAATTCAAGATATGTGCGAAGTTAATCAACCCGCATTGGGCCAGCGTGGTTGACTATGGCCTAATCACCCCTAACTTAGGGTAGGCTACGAGCCCCTCGGTGGTGATCTATGGTGAGCTGATGATGATGATATCTTGTTGTAAAAAATGTCTTTGGTCGTTTTGTACTAACCCTTAACACGTAGGATATTTTAATAATTGGATTAGTTACGTTGACACTAGATGGCACTGTTTGCGGCACATCCATAAACATACGACAGTACTCTTTTGTTTCATTACAAAAATCTGTGCGTTCCGTTTTACATATTTTCTTTTCGTCGTTTGCGTACCCCGCGGTTACAGTATACTCAAGTTTCTGAAAAAAGCAAAAAAAAATCAAAGGTAAAAAATGACAAAATTTAAGCGTTTCATTTTTTGCTTTTTACCTGTACTAATGTGACGACTATTTTACTAATTTTTGCTTTTTTGTCATTGCTGATGTCTATTCCAAAGGGCAAGCTTTGTCTTGGCGCAAAGCATCTGTACGTTTTAAAATATATAGTCAATGTTCCAGACGTTGCGAATGTTTTGTTCATATCGTACATCATGGCCACCTATAAAAACGTTTAAAAAATTGTACTCACGCACGCTTAATAAAAAAATTACGATAAAAATCATCAAAAAAGTTCAGTTCAGTGTTCAATGCTGGGGTAAAAAATAGATATTGACCACTAGTATTTCGTTATTTAAAAAAAAAGATGATCGATTCTTATACGTTAAATTCATATTCGCAATTCTTACCTTGTTTTCGTCTAAATGATTCAGATCTACTCTGTTCATCACAATGAGTGGAACAATTTTAGTCTTTGATTGACAACATTTTGCTTTACACATTATTTTAATATAATAAGATACTGTGGCTATTGAACTTCTGAATGACGATGGTAAATCACTGGGAAGGTTAAAATGTATTTGATAGTTGTTTATTCCCGGTCTTATTTTTTTACCTAGAAAAAATTACATTTTATAACAAAAAATATGCCCTTAATTAGGGACAATTCTAAAACCTTTAAACGGAGAAAATATTTTTAATATAATGATCCCGACACACTATTCTTTTTTAGATGCGTGAACATTGGCCCGCGCCGGACGCACCGCGCGCACGGATTAAACGGATTTGCTTTGTCTTGATGCGATGCGGGCTGTGCGTGAGGTGCGTCCAGGCAGGCCAATGAACGCGTACTTTTTACCAATTGTTTATTTTGAAATATGAATTTGTTTTGACATTTTTATATTATCTTAAAATACTAACCATTTATTTCGCTAAATACATTAATTCTAGTGTCTAAAACTTTCCTTTTTTCTTCATATATTTTCAAATAAGGCACTGTGGGTGTTATTCTTGACCATCTCGCTTTACTTATACCTATAACTCTGAGTTCCACATCTGAAAATCAATAGGAATATCGTATAAATAAAATTTAATTTAAAAAATATTTTGTATCAATTTGAAAAAAGAACTAAAAATTAAAAAAAATATATAGTTTTTAAAAATATAGATACATTTTAAATTCTATCGGTGTTTTCAAATAGTTGACTGTGCCTAATTGTAAGCAATTAACCCCAGTGTGTATTTTCTTAAATGTCGAAACATATGTCCTAACTGAGTATTCTTCAAGGAAACTCATTTGTCGTCTACTGTTTTATATTTTCAGTGGTCGACCAGTTATAAAATACAGTGAGCAAGAAACAATTAAAAATATATTTCTTGTATACAAATCATAAATGCAATTAGTTGGCTAGACTTGCGACCTGGTGACACATAATGTTTAATAAGACGTTATCATAATTAAGGATTAAAATGAATTTCGTCTGATTAGAAATTAGCGTTGATCAAAACTGACGTGCTTCGTAATAAATAAACCTCGTTAAGCCAATGGTGGCCAATTATACTTTTATTTTGTGACAATTGTCCACGCATGTACTGTTTAATGCCTTTTGCAAAAAAGATAAATAGAACAAGAGAAAAATGCTAAGAGAACGCGATCAACTAAAACGAGTTTTGCCGCGTTTTTCTGTGATACTGCAATTCAATCCATAGTTTTCAATTGTCACTTAATAGAACTACTTTCTAAATTATAAATTAACTAGCTGTCGCCCGTGACTTCGTCTGCGAGGAATTATAATAGGTACTTGATTTGTCGCCTGTGTTGTTCCAGGCTATATTCTATATCAATGACAAACTTTAGCGAGATCCATGCAGTCGTTCTGATGATAACTTCTAACAAACATCCATCCATCCATATATACATCGAAACATTCGGATTTATAATATTAGTAAGAATAGTAACAATGATTTAAATAAAGTTGTTCACATTTAATTTTTTGCACTTTTTTAAATTCCAAAGTCACCGATCCGGTCACCACGTCGCCTGTGTACAAAATGCCACTGTCGCCACTGTTAATTACAATATTACAGTTCTTCCACACCATTTTACTATTAATAACTTTATATTAAATATTATTTATAATATAAGTAAGATTAGAGAACACTTTCACACTATCGGGCTGCATGATATTTGTTTCATTGTACCTTATCGAATGATAATTCTGTTATTAATATAGATAAGTTTATCTATCTATTCTATACATATTTACTATTTAGTAGCATTCACGTCTTTTACACGATAACATCTAGGATTATATTCTTTATAGCTTTATCAGTATTGGGAACCAAAAGACAGACATTAACCGTGGGTTATTCAAACTTTCGTGAGTTATTATACTAAACTGATATAAAAACGGCTAAACACTCACGTATATTCGTCCGGTGGCGGCACCGTTTAGTTTCGAGTCCATCGGGGGCGCTCACTGTGAGCGACGGGCCGCGTCCGCGAAATAATACCAATACCACTCATCTTGAAGGGCCCCTGATAGACTCGAAACCAGTCGGTGCCGCCACCGGACGAATATACGTGAGTGTTTAGCCGTTTTTATATCAGTTTATTAACCGTGGGTTTATTTAAGAACATTGATGACGATATGTTTTATACAGATATTTTGGTCTCAGGAACCGACAGTAATTTAAGTTCTAGCGTGAAAACTATTAAACGCCAGATTAACGATCAAATTTGTTTGGTCAACGTATCTGATTCAAATATGCACAAAAACGTCAAACTAAGCTGCATACTATTAAATAATCTGAGAAACGTAAAAGTGACAAAAAAAATTGATCGATTATCTGGCGTTTTACAAACTTACCAGTAAATAACAAGTATGTCATTTAATAATATTTTAGAATTACCAACAAAATCACATGTGTTCACTATTGTTAACATATACTTAGTATAAATACATAGCTTGTATTTAAATAGTATTAAATCCAAACATATCATGCCTTTAGAAAAATATATGGTGTTAAAAATATTTATGAGTTTTTTTTACCTAAACATTATGTATCTTAAACTTTACAATCTTATCTAAAAAGACTACTATTCTTAATAAAAAAACAAGTAATTTAAATCATATGTTTAACGAAATAAAATATGCCGTAAGTAAGACCTCATACATCAAATAAGCCATTGACCTACTTTTAAAATAATAAAATCACTAACTGTCGCCTGTGGCTCCGTCCGTGCGGTATTAAAAAAAAATAGCCAATGTGTTCTTCCAGACTATGTTCTATATGTTTGCTTCATCGAGATCCGTTCAGCCATTCTGGAGATACCTTCAAACAAACATCCAGCAAACTGAATATTCGCATTTATAATATTAGTAAAATTTATTAATCTTATATCCCAAATAATTAATGAAACGAAGGTTGATATTGTAAACGCTAAAATAAAATATATATTTATCTTGAAAAAAGAATTAAAAGCTAAAATATGGCAACATAAAATTAGAAATTACAAAATGTCGGGTAGTCTGAAAATTATTGCTAATGCTGACCGATGTTACTCACTTCTTACATTTTATTGTGTTATCAAGTCGGTTATTTAAGCAAAATACAAAAGTTCATAATGGTATTTTATTCCTTGGTGTTTATCATACTTTTAATAACTCCAGGTGAGTACAAAATTTATATAAATGCTACCTTATTATTAAAACTCTTTGTGTTCTATATTTAAAACTAGCTGTCGCCAACTTTTTATCGTTGTTAACTTAATATGTAGCCTACGTGGTCTTCCAGACTATTTTCTACATCTATTCCGAAGTTCAGCGAGATCCGGAGTTACCTTCTAACAAACTTCTATGAATACATTTAAACATTCACCTTTATAAAATAAGTAAGATTTGCAATTCTTCTTCCAGCATTTTCTAGGCATCTACCAAGGTATGAAGATATGGATGAAGACGAGCAGATGTTATACAGAGCGGCGTACGAAACGCCCTCTTACGATCATTACGAACACGAAGAAAACGACAGTTCTATGGCTAAATTCGATTTACTAAGAGATGTGGTATGGGCTGTCAATGCGAAGAATAAAGAGCTTAAAGCTTTTACTAAAGCTCTGGCTGCGAACTTGTTGTCTACTAAGCTAAAGCTTAAAGAACTGATAGCAAGTGGCGTACTTATTAAAAAACCTGTGCATTTACATGAACCACCAGAAAAGAAGAGACCTAATCATGATTATCAGGTAAACACTATTTTTAATTCAGTAAACTCGTGTCCTTATTCCGAGTTCCAAGCGTAATTTTCTTTTTTTTTATTTAATGCACTTAAAGTAAAGCTAATTCGCGTTGCATTTTTAAAACTATATTAATTTTAATTAGTTTAAATACAAAATTGTTCGTGAATGTATTACCTTATTGAATTATAGTAACCGTTTCATTTCAAATTAGAAACGTTCTACAGCGTGTATTTTTTCGAATGTTTTTTTTATTATTTTGATTTACGTTATAACCGAAACCCCTTTTTTAAGAAAAGAAGATTTTAAAACCTTAGAAAACTACAAAAAATATTTTAGTTACTAAAACTGCAATAAAATCATCAATCGGTGTCTACAGACTAAGTCCAAAAGGATTAAAACATATTTATGCCAAAATCACACAATAAGAAATGTCCTTTTTTAAAAAAAAATATATATAATTGAAAATAAAGAGGTTAAACAAAACTGTTTTCCGGTATTCCGTGACGTAATTTTGACTGTAAGAGGTCAAATTTTTTCAATTAATTTCGACTTAAAATAAAAAGTAATCATTATCGTGACTATCAAAAATTAAATAGTGAGCTATAAAATATTTACTATTATAACATCTTTACATGAATTTGATGGAAATTGAATGTAATAACAGAGATTTTGAACTTCTAACAAATTCTTCATTTGTTTAACAGGCCGCACCGCAACAATACGAGCCGTACGCACCGCAACATGCTCACAACCCCTACTATGGATATTAAAGTCGAATATATTACACAAAAATAGCAGGATTTATCGTTAAACTTTTTTATTTTAAAGTACAAGAGATTACTTGAAGGATTATTAACATTTAATGAGAAACAGAATGCTATATGTGTACTTCTTTCTTTTTACTATTATGTTAGTTTTAATGTCATTGTATTATTGAATTAATTTTTTTAAAATTTAATTAATAATAAATAGCGCTGGTCACTGAATGTAGTTATTTAATACTTGTATTATAATATTTAATTTTTATTTTTAAATTTGCTATAAAAGACTATCTGAAAATTAAGTTTTAATACGTATTTTTATATATCAATAAAATGTTTGAATAGAATTGGCAATTTTATTACATTAATCGAGATAATGTTTTTCGATTGCGGTCGCGTGCGAAGTGCGTCAGTGCTCCACAAGAAAGTGCATTACATAAATTAAATAGTTAATTGGGAAGGTCAACGTTGTCTGGTCGATGTTGCGGCGTGCCTTTAGTCAGTGAGACAGCGCGCAAGGCACACGTACTAGAAGTGAATCGCTTATTCTAGTTCAAAGGAATCGGAATCAGAGGGCCTCGCTTAGTTTTACCGTGTGTCTGCAACGCCGTGTCGAAGCGATGCGACGCGATGTCAACCAAATAATCGTATAAACCAAAAGTTCCCATCGGAACGATGTTCTTTACGATTCTCTATATTGTGGACATGTCCTTATCGATACAGTAAATTTGAAGTTACAGTGCGGTAATATCGGTTTGTGACGAGATGAGGATCTATTTTATATGGATTTCCCTTTTGGTATGAATTCTTTTTTTTTTTAATCTATAGTAATGTGATTAATATATGAATGTGATGAGAGCGTCGGTGGCTCAGGGGTCAACCACTTGACTTGCAATCTGCAGATCCTGGGTTCGAATCCCGTCATGTACCAATGTGTTTTTCGATTTCTGATTTACATATGTACATTTATCCGAAATTCTTACGGCGAAGGAAAACATCGTGATGCAACCTGCACATATTTGAGAAGAAATTCAATTATATGTGTGAAGTTAACCAACCCGCACTTGGCCAGCGTGGTTGACTATGGCCTAATCACCCTTAACTTAGGATAGGCTCCGAGCCCCTCGGTGGGGACGTGTAGTGAGCTGATGATGATGATAGTAATGTAGGTTACATTTGCCGTGATAATTCAAAACTTAAAATGACGAATTACATTGAAAAGCAAGCCTTCTGTGTCTATCATATCAAGTTAATTTCTACCGTTTTAAAATACGTATGAAGTCAAATTTTTGCCAAAGTCTGCATTAGCAAATATTAATTTAACAATTACTTTTCCATTTTAAAATAGACGTAGGGCTCAATAACTGTGCACCATACACAACATACTATCAAGTTTTTAAAATGTTCAATAACAAATTGCATCACATTTTCATAACAAGGTAATTCATGTTGAAATAAAATAACAAGAAAGCAAATGTTTCCGTAGCATTTTATACAGAAGCGTTCAAACATGCCGCGTAACAACGCCCACTGCCCTTAGTATAGCCGAATATGACTTTCAATGTCAAAATTTGATTTCGTCAATCGATTACGGAGGTACCGTTTCAAAATTTGAATAAAGTCCTGTATCATTTAAAAGTATATTGGAACTTTAAGAAACAATCCTATTGTTCGTTCTGTATACTGTCAAATTAAGCTACTGTCACTTCTGTTTTTTCTTAAGTATGTGATCGTCGGAACATAACCCTCTATTGGTCGTCACAAACATCGGTTCTCTGCTGCCATTATCTAGTTTGCTTCCGCAACTGTGACTATATTGGCATATAAACTATACTTCGATACAAAATTGCTCAAAAAACCACTTTTTTATTCCAACTAGTTCATGTCGGAAGCTATTCGTATCATTAAGAAATTATACATTGTGAATTTAAAAATATATTATATTTCTGACGTTCGCAATGGACAAAATTATAAAGAAAATAGATGTTGTTTTCTTCAAATATTTCTTTTATCTTTGCCCAAATATTTATCAGTCATCCCTTCTACACGCTGTTTCAGATTAAGATATTAAATATGTAAAAAAAAAAACAAAAATCATAATTTTGACATTATATTATATTGTTACAATTTGTTAATATAGGAGTTGTTAATTTCCGAGCTAACTAATTAAAAAGAAAATAATTGATCAGTTGCTTATAACGTCGACTTCTTTCAACATTATTTATAAAAAGTGCGTAACATATAACGAGTTCCTTGACACGTTAATTAAAAAGTTGAAGAAAAATGCTTTAGATATTCATGAAACTCGATATAGCAAAATAAATGACGACCTATTTCATATTTACACAAGATAAATGTCAGCACGCTCTTTAAATAAGTACTGGAGCATAAGATCGAACTAATTTTGGTCCATATGAGGGCGAAACAGGTTCGAACAAATCACTTCCTAGTATTTTTTTATGTAATCACTACTAGTGAGAAAAATAAATCACAATAAATGCAACGAACAGTAATTATTACCTATGCATGTCTATCATAAAACCTGTCATAATATATTTCTTTTTTTTTGCACCTATTGAAGACAAAGAAATGCTTAGGAAATTAAAAAGGAGTAAATCGCGAATGAGCGTCAGTGGCTCAAGGGTCAAGCTCTTGACTTGCAATCTGCAGGTCCTGGGTCCGAATCCCGTCATTTACCAATGTGTTTTTAGATTTCCGATTTACATATGTACATTTATCCGACGTACTTTCGGTGAAAGAAAACATTGTGATGCAACCTGCATATATTCGAGATGAAATTCAATGATATGTGTAAAGTCAACCAACCCGCACTGGGCCAGCATGGTTGACTATGGCCTAGTCACCCCTAAATTAGTATAGGCTCCGAGCCCCTCGGTGGGAACGTGTAGTTAGCTGATGATGAAGAAATCGCGAATATAAAAGGTAACTTACGATCAGGGTCGGTTTTAGCATTTACGGCGCTCTGGGCGAGATTTTTACAGTTGTGTTAAATACAGATTTTTTTTAATTAAGACGAAACACCGTTAGTAATAAAGTGTACATTATTGAAATGAAAGACATTGAGTGCGAAGGTAAAGTAACGACAACAGGTTTAGTTCAGCACTGGTAATATCTTGTCACGCATAACTAATCGTGATTGAGGCGAAATATTTTAGCTAATGAATAATTTTCTAGCGTCTACCAATTGGTAGTAGTTTTCCAATCCTAAACCTATCCAACTCGCGGGATTTTCCAATATGTGGGTCTTTTATTTGTTCATACATGTCAAAGGATGTAGAGGATTTTATTCTAATTATTATTAACTGGAAAATTATTGCTAGTTGGAGAAACCCGGATATTAATTACACCCACAAAAGACTACCTAAAAAGATAAGTAGGCAAAATTCAAGTTTACAATTGCAATTCTTATGTAATCCTAAGTCATACGTATTTTAAATTGTGACAAGTTAGTGACGGAAATTGATTACTGCTGTATTTCATTTCACAATTTCTGTTTTAATTTTCAAAATAAAGTTAAATGTATACACAAAGATTAGGACATTAAATATAAGGCTTTTTACCGAAAAAGAAATTGAAAGAGTTGCCGCCGCGCCGCCGTTCCACCTTTTGATTGCGAGACTTGCTAGCGCCATAGATAATATTTTTATCTATGGCGCTAGCTATTTTGAGTACCGGGGGTTTGCTTGCTACAAAAATTTAAATCACTTTTGGAATAGTGATTATTTTTTTCAAGTTCAATCATGAACACAATCACAATAATTGGCTTGGAATCTTTTAAAATGACGTTTTGGATATGTCAAAATCGACCAGCTCTTACTGCTAGAGCCATCTACTGACAAACAGCGAGAACTTAGTTGCGCGCCTAATATTATTTATTATATATTAAAGACATTGGAGCATAGATATCAATGTAGAATAGTTACATTTTATTTTATTACGAAGTCTTAACTCCGTATTCATTCCATTCAATATAAATTACAGTAAAATGAAATGAAAGAACAACATACATATCGGAAGTTATTAATGTCGTATTTCTTTTTATACTTTTTGCCTTATTTCTCTCGTAATTGAACATAATTTCACAAATCATCCGTCTTAAGGACTCGAACTTTGATCTATTTAAAGAAAAAAAATTGCATCCGTGCGATAAAACACGTTCGCATTTTCTTTGTGAACTCGGTTATCATCATTCAATTTATTTGCATTCAAGTATAAAATACTTCACGATCTGGTAAATCAGAACTGGTTTTCTCGCCTCGCACAATAATGCTAACCTTATAAAGGTAAGTGCACACTTTAACAGAAACCAAGAATAAAAATCTTGGTAATAGCTTCGACCAAAACCTTTTACCAGTTAGGGTCCGATAAAAAGGGTTTAATATTGGAGACTGTCCACGTACAGTTGAAATTCCTCTCTGTAATCCTAGTCACTGGCTGCGTGGGTCGTGAGATTTTGTAGTTGGTTATATACATCATCTTACTAATATTATAAATGCGAATGTTTAGATGGATGGATGGATGGATGGATGTTAGAAGGTATCTCAATAACGGCTTAACAGATCTCGTTGAAATTTGGCATAGATATAAAGCATAGTCTGGTAGAACACATAGGCTACTTATTATTAGTATAGTTTGTATATAAAACATATTAGAATGCCTTTATGTATATTGAATATAAAATAAGTATAATAATGAAATTATATATTTACCTAAAGCTGTTAGACTCGACATCGCTTTTAGGAATTTGATATGACCTAGCCTTCGCTTTGTCCCTGGTATGCTTAAGTCGTGATGAAAAAAGCCATTTCAAGTGATATCTACGATCTGCTTTTTTATTGCCCTCTGACATGGTTTCCACAATAATGTCGATTCGTGTACTTATCAAGATAATTTTAAGCAATTCATTTAATAAAAAGGGTTTAAAATATCTCACTGAAATATGAATGCGGGTAAACTTATAGTTTATTAACTTGAGTCCGTGTTCTGTATTAAATGTCAGTTTGTTTTTAAAACCTGTTTGCCTATCGATAGTTGTCACTTAACCTTCTTCGTAAAAATTAACTCTTAATACAG